TGTTTAATAGTAATTATTAGGGTGTAGAAGGCTACCAAAGGCAAAATTCAAAACCGTGTTTGCCCAATTAGCTAGTTTGTCGCATGTCATAAGTTAAACTATTGGGAGCTAATATAGGGGTAATAGTATTTAATAGTACAATTCCTATTTCTTCACAGACGGATGAAAATGACTCTAAAGACTTGTATCCAGCAGGGGGGTGCGCACCCCCCCTGAGATCTGTATCCTTCAATACTTTCCTTATTTTGTATCTTCACGGTACAGGGGGGTGCACCCCCTTTTGAGTGCCCCGCACCCCTCCCTGAGGAAAATCCTGGATCCGCTACTGAATTGGATGTTCCGGAAACTAGTARTTGCCCAACGCAGGAAAAATTTGTTCTTGAATTATGACATGCCTTAATTATGACAATAAATATTTKTTGGATCCGTGATTTCAAACCGTGCACATGTTCTTTCAACAACTCGAGTGTTTTGCAACAAAGAACARAACATATTTTACTTTTTTTTTTCTTTAAAAAGAGCATACGATTTCATTTTCATTTAAAACTGKAATAACACGCACTTGATTAAGAAAACGTATCAGTACTACGAGAAAAATTACATTGTTATACAGGATATCCGTAAATCAGCCGTATACGTACCTAGTGATATCCACGCTTACTCGCTCCGAGTAGTCTACATACATGTGCCGACCAACGAAAATGAAATATTTCAATACGATATCGCGACAAAGTCTTGAGTATTTTGGTATACATTGGAGAAATGCTATGATWTACTCCATCCTTTTGTTCTATCAAATTCTGACCTAACATTCCACTGCTGCAGGATGACTTAAAAAGCACTGAGCCTTTTCCGGAAATACTTTCAATTAGGTACATTAGTTATATATTTGTCAGTGAAGTTTTTGAATTGCGCCAAGTTTTGAAATTAAGGCGTTTTCATGCTTGTTGAAGTTTAAACACTGTATTGCGAAGAGTCCGCAAATGAAAAAAATGTTGCAATGTAGGTATTTCAAATAAGGTAAGAGTTGTCGGAGAAGTGGCGATTGTTGAAGAGACCAACTCAAGGTCACTATCACTTCAAATTCTATGAAAGAAAATTTGTCTCTTCTCTAACAAACAAATGCAGATATTATAGATTGGGCAGATGTATTTTGTGTTAAACAGGTCATAGTCCTAAGCGCTTAAAACAAAAGATGATAACCGGACAATTCTGCTAGAAAAAAAAAAACAAAAAACAAAAACAAACAAAAAACAGTTCATTAAAGAAACTTAAATCAAAAATTATATTTAGCGACACAAAACAGAATGCTCGTCAATTTTTATTTAAATTTTATCCGTTTACATTTAGTCTAGCMCTTGTGAATGCTACAATTTAWCGTTAATTTTTACCCCTTTAACAACATGAATCKATTAAATGCAATTTTCGCAATGTTTGATTGGAAATGAACGGTGCTAGCCTAGGTTTTTCATCCGATTTGAGGCATGATGGCAGTTATTACAAAAGACATTGTAGTATTTGCCTCCGACCTTCACGAACTTTCCGATATTCGTTCCTTTCTTCACCGGCAAGACCTTGCTGGCGGGTTTCCACTTCTTGCTCATGTGCTTGGCGTCAACAACAACAGTTTGGCTGCTGATACCGTAGTCTTTGCCCTTGTGGATCAAGTACTTTTTGCCTTTAACAAACGAAACAAACTCATTAAGTGTTATTTCCGGAATTTCATCGTAAAGTGATCGTCAACAGATCGGAAAATAATCGGTAAAATAACGAAACACGATTGATTTATTATCGAAAATTATGATTTTGATAAATGTTGAAATGTAACATGATGCTCAAAGTGAGTGATACTAATGGTTTTACTGGAAATAGCCATTTTCACGTTTCTCTCTTGAAAGATAAAGTTYAATATCAAAATATTGTTTTCGCATACATTATACAAAAATTGTTGCTTGTACAAAGTTATTGATTTTTGTGAAAATTCTTGATTCTCTTCTCTGTCTATGAAATGCGGTACGTTGCATTTTTCTTGATAATTATCATTTCCTTCTCTTTTTCTTTTTCTCGCTTTCCTAAGTTTTAATTTTCTCTATTTTTTCTGCCGTTGGTGACAGCAATATTAATTTAGAAGGGTAATTACTCATACGAGATTGATGCAGTATTATCAAATTTATTTTAATAATTCATAAGGTAAACACAATGAAAAATCATTGCCGTCACCGCATCTTTATATAAACCAGAGATTTGTCGAAATATGCTTTACGTTAGGTTGGAGTTTGATAAGCAATATAAAGTATTCGCGTCCGAACTTTATGGACTATAATTAAAACTGCTCGCTTGCAGCTCACAGTTTRAAATGCCCATAAAGGTCTCCCGCTCATATTTTATGTATTACATAAATCTCAAACCTGATTGGGTTGTGACCACAACTCCCGAGTGCTTGATTCCAAGATAACCAAGGAATCCCTTCAGGGGCCGCTTGAACCTTTGAACGTTGACGACTTTGGAATTGTAGAGTTTTCTCAGTCCTTTCTTGGTTTTGATGGAGTGAGGAAATTTAGGTCGTGGCCTGTAGGTGTTATGAAGATTGAAAGGTAAAGGTTTTCATCTCGTTCCCAGGTCATTAACGAAGGGATGA